TCCATACAAGACATAAAGTCCTGGATTTAGCAGCATTTGGGCTTCATCTCTTCTCCTTATTCAGCCAAGTTTGCATTCGTACTAACACCATTTTGAGTTGCAGAAGTCAGCTATTCCTCTATTATTTGTCTCTGTCTGCCGACAATTTTTCACATTATTTGAAATACACCTTGTGGTGATGGGGATTTACAGCTGGAAACTGAGGCGTGTCCTGTGCAGTCTGCCTGCTGTAACTGGAGGGTTATTGTGGCAATAAATATACTAAAGATCAGCATCACATCAGCATCACATGATATCCTATTCTCTTCTTAAACACAAATATTTGATTGTGTGTTTTGAAGCATCATTTCCTTTTTTTTTTTCTTTTTTTCTTTTTTGAATGAGTAGAGCTGCTCCTCCGTCTTTCCATGTTCCCCTGGAGGACAAGTATCAGTTACAAATCACCAGATCAGTGTTTACTGGGATTGGTTACTATTTTTATTTATTTATTTATTTATGTTTTTGAAAGATGTAGTTAATACCTAAAAAAAAAAAAAAAAAAAAAAAAAAAACACTTTAAAAAAAATGGTTTTTTTTAAAAATTTAGTTAAAACCTAAAAAAAAAAAAAAAAAAAAATCACATTGTAACAGATGCTGTTTTTCAAATGACGTTTAGTTCTAAAACTATCTCACCACAAGGTTCGTCCATTTAGTAGCAGTTCTGGAGCTTTTGATCATATACAGTCTCCTCAGCAGACGCAGTTTGCCCTGTTGGCACTGAATATGTAAATTTTCACTTTTCTGAGCACTTTTTTCTCCAAACATTTGCGTAACTCATTAACTCCTGTTCATCAACGTATAGCTGCTATGTGTAGGATCAAGAACTACTTACTTTAAACAAATGAGACCACTGTTGGAAAGAATGATACTTTACTCACAGTGTCCCACATTTTTCAAGATATTTCTTCTCAAAGTCCTTCAAACATTTCACTGGTTGTACCAAGTACATCATAAAGTAATCATAAAATAATCCTGCACTATAAAATATGAACTGGTTGTTCACATTGTAAAGAGCTGTGTGAAGTTCAGGGAGAGGCTGCCAGCCCACTTAGCAATGATGTTGTTTGTGAGAATTAACAATTTATCAGTGTTAAAAAAACACCCACTGCATTCATGATCTCTCTCTATCACTGCTGTGAATTCATCTCTGTCTCGTATCTGTGTCTCTGCCTGTCGGCGGTGTCCCAGGCTCAGGGACTCTGTGTGCCAGCTGGCAGTGCCTGGAGGTTCCCCGTGGCCCTCCACCCAGCCTGGCTGTCCAGTTTGTGGGCTCCGGGGCGTCGCTGTCGGGCATGGACGTGGAGCTGGTGGGCAGCCGCTACCGCATGTCACTGGTCAAGAAGAGATTCGCCACAGGTGACAATCTGAACACACTCACTGGGGTTTGTTTTATCACACAATGGGCTCATTGGTGGAGTACCATGCTTCATTAACACATCAGCAACAGTTTGTTGTTGTATTTGAAAACTGAATGTTTATTTTACTCCCCTTACATGCGCCTATCAGTTTAAAAAGCGGTTTGACAGTTAAAATGACGATAAACGATGTGATCAGTGCTACTGGTTGTCAGCCTGGTCCTTATGAGGCCCAATAATCACTATATATTTTTACGCTACATGCTTTCAAAGAATCCAGTCATATTAAAATAACTACTGCTGAAAAGATCAGCCACTCAATTCAATTTATTAGTCAATTGAAATTAAGATATTCCTATTATAGATTAATCATTTAGTAAAATGGCAAACATTTGTTATGAGAATTTGCAGCTTTTTCTGTTTTGTATCATTGTACTCTGAAAGTTTTTGCATTTTGGACTGTTGGTCATAAAAAAGCAGTTTTGGTTCTGGGAACTTCATGATAGGCCCTCTTGTTAAAGTTTTTTTTTAATGTAACAAATGGCTTTATTCATGTTTAATTTACTAATGCTTATAGATCACTCATAAACAATTAATAAGAACTTTTGGGTTTCCAATTCCCACTGACCACTTATTTTTTCAGATGATTAAAGCCTTTTATTAATGACTTGTTTGTCTTTATAACTGTAGAGTTAATTACTTATTTGAAAGTGAGAATCCTTGACCACTGAATAATGAAAAGATTTTTTTATGTCAACCCAAACTTGTTCTTAATAATGGTTAATAACATATCTATAGTGCATTCATAATAAAACAATTCAATAAATCCATCAGCTACAGCTTTATGTGATTAGTCAGGTGATTCATCGGTTTGTTAACATTTTAACTAACTCTCAACAAGAATGTGAATAAGTGTATTTCCCAAAATATTGAAATATTCGTTTAAAGCTGTTGACATACAGCATGTTGTGAAAAACAGATGGGAATCTAGTAGCATAATTTCTTCTTCCATGTTTGGTTATTTAGTTTCACCCAATGATAAAGCTGCCGGAAGCTTTTGCACACAAGTGTCTCCTTTAAGAGATGGTTTTTTTGTTCTCTTTTCAGCAATATACAGCTTCTTTTTCCATTTATCTTTTCAATCTCTTTCACAGGGAAGTACATGGCCGGCTGCTTCTTGTGAATCAGAGAACTTTGCACTTTTTCAGCTTCTGAGTCAAGAGCCGCAGAGATGGTAAGAGACGAAACAGTAGAGGAGGCTCCTTTACTCAGACTTACAGCTCAGCCTTGAAGGACAATGTGCACTTAACTTCTGATGGTGTCCTGCTGTTTAAGGACCAAGCCTTTCTTCTTCTTTTCCTCTAATTTAACTTGTGTGTTGTACACTCAGTCGTCCTGCCTTTTCCTGGAGGGAAAGTCTTTTTCTATTAAATCTCCTCTGTTCACTTCGTGTTCTGTGTGCCTTTGTAGGTAGAGACTGCAAACTAAGCTAGATGTCAGAACTTTTCTTGAATTACAGAGGAAAGAAAAAACTGTGTGAATAAAGTTAAGCATAATTACTGTGTTGCCATGGAAACTAGGATTTTTAAATTGTGTAAATACTGTATCGCTAGAGCATCCCGAAGGATTGAACGAGTCATTTGTGAGCAAAGATCTTCTACCAAACCTTGGAAAAAAAGAACTGTTTGTAAATCTGCTGTTTGTTCAAATTAGAGGTTTTGTGATGTTATTTGATAAAAATAAATGTGCTCAATCCTTTTGGTTTACACCAATTTATTACACGTTGTGACCAAGTACAAAATACAGCTGAACTATGCAGTTTATTACAGACCATCATCTGTCCTTAGGCTAGTTAAAGTGTAGTCAAGAACAGGTTTAAAAATACACAAAAATAAGGGTTCAGTATACTTGTAAGAAGAACCAAATCTAGTTCAATAAAAAATAATCCTCCGCCAAAAATCTAGAACAGCCTTACAAAACATTACAAAGTACACATAGAAATTACTTTTTTCCAAAGCACTTGAAGGCAAATTACTGTAACAGGCACAAGTTACAAAAAGCCTTAAATAACTCAAGCTCAAGGATTCTCATCGCTACAACAAAATCATCTGAGGGGGAAACGAAGAGAAGGGAAGAATAAATCAACCAAACCAGTTTCAACACAAAGCTGATGTCAATCAAATCAGAATAGTTCATATAAATAGAAATTTCTCTTGTGACGGTTTAATAGTTTACTCGGGCGCAAGTAGCGCCACAGTAATAACTGAATTTCATACATTGAACAATTGAGCTTGGAAACAAATTTATCACACACACCAGTCTAATCAATTACACATCAAAGCATTTTCTTCTGATACAATGTGACCAACCAAGTAACAGTGTGAGGAGAAAGATTAGGCAAAGACCGAAGGCCACAGAGCACGCACTTTCTACATCATATAAAGATATATATATATAATTTATTATGGACAAATTCCCCAAATAACGCACTGTATTTTTCTATCTAATTCAAACAGAACATACGACTTTATCTGAGTAACAGCATGAGGTTAAAGTATCTGAAGTCGGGGAGCATGTGCCGGCTCAGATGCCAACAACATCCTCTTCTTGTGTAAGGGTTTTGGTTTTACAGGTCCAAAGCTCTAACTTGTATTGATATATCTTCCTTAGATGAAATTTATCACCACTATTTTTTAATCAGGAAATGAGGCTCAATGAGACAGACCGGATTCCAGTTTAGATTTAAACATCCCATCTCCATTAAGCCGATTGTTCTGGATTTGTTCCCAACTCTGCAGCAGCTGAGTGAACTACAACAGGTCTGCACATGTGAGTCACTGAAATAGGACTTAGTGAGTGCATCCTAACAGCACAGGGAGGAACTATCACAGGATCGAAATCATTTGGAGGAACATGGAGAACTATTTACATGAAAGGAAACCAGAGTGGGAGACACGAACCGCAACAGTGGCTACATGTTTTTTTTTTTTTTTTAATACTTGCCTCATGTCATCTGAGCCAAACGGAGCACAGCATAGAAATCTATTGAGGTAAACAAACCAACATCTTACACAGCCAAGGTAATAGACTGTTCCCTGCCTTCCTGACTACTGTGAGACTATGAGGCCCTCCTGCCTGACAGACAGAGCCATGACTGTGGCTAAGCTGGTGGGAACGACTGAGGGAAAGGTCCTTTGGGTCAGTAGGTTGCATGTTCATTGTTTTTCTCTTTTTTTCCATGTTTGCTGCAAGCTGCAGCAGAGGCAACAAGGAGTACAAACCTACACCTAATCAATGTTAAAGGTGCTTTGAATGTCTGAGGTTTGGAGACGATACATTCATACTGCGGTAGAGGCACAGCTGAGGGACAGATAGACATCTGTAGTGGTGGTTTCAAAGTTAGTGATCTAAGGCACTCAAATGACACTATGGCACAGCTAGTTAAAATTTGAAAAAATAAGAAGAATTACATAAACACCACACACCACCACTCAAAGTTACACATCCAACAAAAAGGTACTGCACAAAGTCATTCACAGTTGCAACAAAAACAGAAAGAAAATCAGACCTGTTACACCCCTGTGAGTAAAAAAAAAAAAAAAAAAGACGTGCGCTTCCTGGGACAAAGATCAGTCTTTATAAACGCTAGTGAGGGGAGGACTGACAATGCTACTCTCTTCTCTATGTACATTGCACACACTGACTGCAGAATGACGCCCTGTGCTCAGCCCAACAGCCACTTGCATCCCAGAAGGCCCCCAAAGCCACTTTAGGGTCACCTTTTTAGGGAGAGATGCCGGTCCCCGTGGCTTTCAGTCTGGACCTGTTCGGACTGGACTCACATCTCCTGCAGAGGGTGGCTCATTTCAATCCTCTCTCTCTTTACAGCTGGTTCAGTAGGGCCTCTGGATGCATCAGGATCACTGCCCAGGTCACTCATCTCATCAGAGAAGGATGTATCTAGTGGAAAAAGGAAGGAAGGGGTTTGTTGGAGACACAATAGTTGGTGACAGTAAAACCAGTCAGAGAAAACCTAATGTGGGGCAGAGGCAAAAGGAAAAAGCTACAGCTGGGTTTAAAGCTACAATACAAAACTTCCCCATAATATGAGAGTCGAAATAATTATTTATACCTAAAGTATCTTAAAGTAATAATCCACCAATTCAGCATTGCACTATAACGTTGTCAGACAATGACAATGGACAGATTCTAAAAAAGAGGATCAAAACCGATGCAGCAGAACTACTACTTTTTTTATTTCACACATTCCTCTTACTTGTCAAAACCTGGTGCCTACATCACCCACAATGCAACTCTAGTAATGGCTAATGTAGCCTTGTGCTGCTAGTCTCAAGCAGAGATGAAGACTGAACTACAAAGGTCTGGTAAGTTCACATCTTTATAACAGATTTTATTTTGTCTATTCAAGTCTGCAGCCCCGACAAATTCAGACTTCACACAGCTCCCTCTGGAGCCACAAAAGCCTTTATACAACTTTTCTTACTCTCTTTATGGGTCTTGGGGACTACTACTGCAAAAGATTTCTTCTCAAGAAATCCACTGAAAACACCAAAACCATCAATGTCTTAGTCTGTCTTTCAACTTTAACTTTGCTACCATCTGTGACTCTCAGCCAAGCCCACTGGTTCCTTCTGAAGACACAAATCTTTACAACTGGGTCTCAAATACAGAGGTTCATTTTAGGAACCTGCAGTTTAATTTCCTAACACAGCTAGGCATTGTAGTTTTTAATCAAAAATTAACTCAAACAGGAGCAAAGAATGAATTTGTTGGGGACTGTAGTGAGTATTTACAGCAGCAAAATGTATGTCAGAACAACTCAGGATAAACTAACGTCACTCCGTGGAACACTGCGTCTTACTAAAAAACGGAGCTCTATGGCACTGAGGAATAACATATACTGTGTGAGGCTTTGGATACACAGACAATATTTACTATTACTAAGTACTTAGATGGATGGTTTTGGTCTTTTCATGGTATCTGTTGACAAGAAGAGAAACATAATAACACCGGCTTCATCTTTTACCCCATCTTGCCTCTCAGGTATGGCATTGCTGTTAAGATGCTTTGTGTAAAATTGTTGTTTTGGCATTTATATTGTGGGAAGAGTTATGTATTAGAAACTTATCATTTAATGTCTTTTTGGAGGCAATTATCTAGGACACAACTTCACTAATATCAAAGCTAGCACAGTGAATAATAAAGGCTTACCTTTTTCCATGAGTGATGGCATCATAGAACTCAGGTCACTGAACTGTAAATCAAGAGATGACAGAGCATTAGTCAAGGAAACAATGTTCAATATAATTTTCATAAGTATCAGTACAGTGTTTTTGAGCAGCCAGGTATCTTCTCTCTTACCTCTCCCATAACAGCAATAGGAGTTTCTCCCGTGGCCTGAGCCACACGATGCTCCACCAGGTAAAACATGTACTCATCATACAGAAGACGGATCAGATGAAAAGAGCCAAAACTGGCTGCACTACGCAGAGTTAGGTCTCTGATCACCATGGAGCTACCGAAAGCAGAGAAAAGGAGAATAGCAGAGAAATTATTTATAAAATCTTGTGTCAAACAGCCATGATGAACTCTAGAGCCCAATGAGCATTGTAAAAACTAGACAAGTGCAGGGAAACTTGCTAACACTGCACTGTATTCCCATGTTACCTGTAGAAAGACCATTTGAGCAGGAACTGGCGAGCAGCTTTGGGGAAACTCGGGCTGCCCTGGTGGGGCTTCAGGACCTGAGAGACCACGTTGTCAAGCCAGGTAGCCCACTGATCCAGAGAGCTCTGCTGCTGCAGGGTGACTTTAAAGTCCTGCTCCAGACGCTGAACTACACTCTCGTCACACTGACACACCCATGACGCCTGCTCCTGTTAAAACACAACCAGCCACACAGTGAGAGACGTAAAACACAAAGCGGACACAAGTCACACAACCTCGTGCAACATGAACACAAACATCTGATATTTGAACATGAAGTTTTGACTTTAGATGAACTCGGAACCTGACACACAAGTTTACCTGGACGTTAGCAAAGTCCACCCGGTTGAGGTCTGAGAGCATCTGGTTGATCTGGGAGGTGTTCTGGAGGACGGCGCGAGCTGCCTGGGCCAGATGGTTCAGACTGGTGTAACGTCTCAGAGTCTGGGCAAATGCACTGACCACTGCCACCTACACAACACAGTGCAGCAGAGAATATACAGTAATGTTTTCATGCTTTTAAATATTACTGAAATCAGACTTCCTTCAAATCAGGTCAGATCTCTAAGGCTCCTTGTATTTCTGGACAAAACTTAAGTGTCTTATGTTTCCAGACTAGATGGAGCAAAAACTCAGAAGTTGCCAAGACCACCTCTGAAAAATTTGCCAAACACATATAAACACATGTTAACTTTTATGCACAGATCAGATCATCAAGTGCACCTATGCAACCTTTTAAAGAAACATACTAAGTCCAATAAAAATGACCTGTTGAGATCACACAAGACTGAAGATATGACTAAATCATTTCATGAAGGACACTAGAGACATACTTTAATGCCATATAATCCATATAAAACATGTGCACACACAATCTAACAGACAAGTGGGTCTGAGTTTTTCTTGTTACCTTGGTGCGGATAATCTCTTGAGGAAAGCTGGTCATGGCATTAGTCAGCCAGCCCTCCAGACTCTTGGCAAAGTTACGAATGGCCTGAGTGAGAGTGCCTGAAGAAAGAAAACAGCCTGGATTACAAACTGACTTTACTACATAACCACTATGGTTGATGCATCTTAAGTGGAGTTGTGTAAATGCAGCAAACTCCTGATGAGAAGATTCAAGCGGTCCTGTCAAAGAATAAATACCAAAATCCCTTGAATGTAATGCTGGGTGTTGTGTCATTGTGTTGAGGATGCAAAGATACTGAGACACTGAGAATTTGAGTTTGCCATTTTGGTATTACATCATTGGTTTGTATTTCTGGTTTTAACTTCTCAAATGTAAATCTTTTATACTTTTCTCAGTCCTCTGTGATAATAAACCAAATATATTTTGGTATTGGACATTTGGTTGGATAAAAAATAAATACATTGACTTCCAGACCAAACGATTAATCCAAAAAATAAAAAATAATATATATATATAAATATATATATAGTGAAAATACTCATTAGTTACAGCCTTAGTGTCCTACACTTAGTCTACATCACAGTCTCTTAATAGTAGTACTGACTGGGAACAGGGCGCAGGACATCAGGGATGAGGATCTCCACTAGAGCCTGGTAGAGGATGTGATCACAGCTCCTCATCCATACTCTAACCGGTTCGTATTTACACAGAGCCACCAGCTTCTCTCTGGGAATCACACCTTCCAGGTCATCATCACTATACACAGAACAAACAAACATAAATATTTAAATAAACTCAGCAAAAGATGAGGAAAAAATGACTTTAAATGACTTAAAATTCAAGAAATTTAAGATTTTATTTAGCTCAGACTACAGACAGTATAGGTTAATTGTAATCATAGGCAGTAGCTTCCTATTCAACACTGAAGCATTAGGCTCCTCCTGTATGTGTGAGCTGACCTGTTGGGGATGGTGGTATTTCCATCACTAGATGGCAGTGTTGAATACCAAAAGGTCTGCCAGAGTTTCTCAATATAGTGGAACTGGAGGTTCATCACCACGTCCAAAGTAGCCTGCAGGAGAGCGGCAAAGGAGGGAGGAGGGGGAGGGAAGAGAGGAGGGAAGAGAGGAGGGAAAAGAGAGGGAGAAGAGGGGGGGGACAAAACATACAGAGCTGAACCATGGCAACCAGACACACAACAAAGTTTCTACAGGCAGGCAGGCAGCCTCTCACTCACTCCAGGCCCTCCTGGTTAGACAATGAGCCAGCTTAACACAGCTCCCTGCACATTAATCATCAGGAGGATCCTAAAGGCCACGTTTAGGCTTCCTCTGGAGTTTTTTTCTCGAGTTGATTTCACTCTTTTTTAAAATCTTGGTTGCCTTTATAAAGCAGATTAGTCTCGTAGATTAATGCATGCATTTGCCTCGTTTTAGTAGTGAGGCGCTGACCTGAACTAACCCATGCGACTTCCTCTTTCCTGTTCATATGTATGAGGCTCTTTGAAAGCAGAGTATACTGCACACAAGTGAACACTGCAAGAATGCAGAGGAAGCAGTGCCAAGCTAGTGTTCTTATGATTAACAACAGTTTTGGGGCTGTCATGTATTTCTAAAAAGAGATACAGATAAACCCTTAAACTCAACACACATATAAATATCTAAGACACAAAAACCAGCGCTGCAGAAGTTGCTGAGGCCATTCATCAGGCCACAGGAAATGTCTGCCTGACTCCACATGACGCAGAGGTCAACCTCTTTGTGTTTTTGGCATCAAACAGTTCAATATATCTCTACATTGAGAATCCACTAAGTATAAGAGTATGATTCACTCCGTGCCCAGAGATTCTCTTCTTTCTGTATCTGGCAGGACATGCACTTGCCGCTGGATCTTATTACACAGCAGTGTAGGCTTCAATCACATGATATGTTTTTGCTTCCTCTCCAGCCGTCGCTATGGCAACCTTGTTTACGGTTGCCCCCAGCAACAGGTCAAACACAGAACTCCAAAACAAAAAGGAGAATTCCCCAGTCCCTCTAAACAAGAGTGTTTTGCCCCCAGTTTTTCACCACACAGGAAAAACAGCATGCCTTAAAAAAAAAAAGAAAAAAAAGACTGTGACGGAGAAATAACACGTGTTCACATGCACAATCACAGACAGACGAGTGCCTGCAGCAGAGATTCCCAAATCTTAACCCCTCACTTCTGTTCAAACACATGTCATATACTGCAGTTAACAGTATGATTTATTACACTCAATGTTTTATTAAACACCTAATCATTTACGCTTAAACATTAATAGACTGTTGTTACTATGACATTAATAAATACTGTCCCGACAGTGGGTACAAATCTCTTAACTGGTTGAAAGTAAGAAATAAAATATTTTTATGTTTAGGCCAACTTGTTACCTTTATTTGCCCTGTAGCTTAAAGTGCCTTCAATAAAAGTACTGCCTAACATGGTAACAGAAAAAAAAGTGAAATGCATCAATATTAAACACGCAGAAGCAATGAGAGCTGTGAGACTGACAGAAATGTGCTGGCAGACAAAGACAGGAGCCCATGTGCCTGTCCACAGACAAGGCAACACAAAGACCCATGGGGAGGCCACCACAAAGACACCAAGATGTCCACCCAGCGCGCTGAAAGGTTAATTGGCATGTCTTGAAAGCTGCACAGAGATGAAAAGACGGCTGGAACAAAGGGAGCGTGGTGAGGCTGGACAAGGGGAGGGCAGGGATAATATGATAAAGCCAGAGCTTCACTGCTTTAATCACAGCCTCTCTCCTGCCTGTAAAGCCCCAAAATTTTTATGTTCAATATAATTTCCAAAAGAGGGGAGGGACATGTCATTACGCAATACACCATTTCTCCTTAGCTCTTCTTTCATACATTTTCCTGATGCATTTCTTTAAAGATTTTTTCTGTCAACCTTTGACTGCTGTAGTTTGGTTTCATTGTGCCTCCTGCTTCAGCATGTCATCTGCCCTTATTAAACCGATTCATCTATCTTAAGCGATAAGGCTGGCGTTATTCTATATTTTTCTTATTATCAAGAAATTCCGCAAAAAAAGCAATGTTTTAGTTTGTCACTCAACACTTTTTGAGCAACAGACTACTTTGGTTTTCTTTAACCTGTCTGTGGCACAAGGCCCTTGTGGCCCCAAGCCCCTACTCAAAGTAAAAAAAGTCTCAAAAATATGTATGTTTGACTTTAAAAAAAGAGAAATTTCTCAAGTTTCTCAAACAAGTTTCTCAAACAAGAGTAAATGAAGCATTTCTTTGGGACTATTTTCGGCAGCAGATTAATATACACTTGATGCCCTAGTGCGTATTTATGGTAGCGGGATGCTGTATGTGGTATTGACTCAAAATAAACTACAGTGCCAGTGATCAGACTTTGGATACATAGAAGATAATATTCGTAGTATTAATACATCGTTGGCTTAGGTCTTTTAATGGGATTTGATGATAATAACAGTAATATAGAATATCAACCGACTGTTTAGACCAATAAGCAATTCTATATAGGAAACATATCCATCAGCAGGTCAACAGTTCAATATGAGATAATTAAGTGTAAATGTAAAAGCAGGATGTATTATCAGAGGCATTACAATTTAATTAGTGCATAAATTTCATTGTTATGGTGTCCTTATTTCAACCCTGTTTAGGACTTACTTAAGTCACAAACAGTTTTAATGCATATTTTTTTATAACATACTTTATTTGAGACAGGCGGTATGTAAAACTGCATTTTTCCTTTGTTTTCCATAAAACAAACTCAAAAGTTGCCAATAAGGGACATGTTTAATGTGAGAAAGATTTATAGCATCAGATGAGTTTGAATACTTGACCACTTACAGGTCTTGGCTGGAACTGCAAAGCTGTTCCAGTAAATATTCACATACCAATGTCACTTCATCTGGAACTATATTCACAGAACCGTAGCAGACAGTGACATATGGTGAATGTAAAGAAAATGACAAATAAATATTCCAAATTAATTGTACTGAATTGAACTGTCAAAATGTATTTCTCTGGTGAAAGATGGATGATATGTTCATCCACTGCATAACCATCTGTCTGTCTGTTATGGATGTTTGCTAATGCGTGTTTAGAAGTGGCAACATGTTTTGGTTAATATACCAGGGCTAATTGACCTAAAGTAGGGAAATGATACTATACAAATTTAACATGGTATAACATTACAGTGTTGTTCACTTCTTGCATTTCTCCTCACCAGTCACCAGTGGGGTTCCTGCATCAGATATATGTAACCATGTTTTCATTGTCTAGACCTTTAACTGCGAGAGGGCGCAGAGGACCAACAGCCAGGAGACATGATGAGTTCTGCTGCAGGTCTGACTGTGAGGAACTACAAAAGTGCAAACCACAGCTCCAAATTTCTATATCGGTTTAAACCTTCCTAAGGCAGTGGAACTTGTATTAACATAGAGTAGTGCTGTGATATGACCCACCTCACAGTGGTCTCTGTAGAGCGTCTGCAGCTTCTTGATATCATTCATGTTGATGCGCTCAGGCAGAGGCTGAGTTCCCAAGTCAGGAGAGGGAAATGGAGGCAAGGTGTGGGACGTATCTGCATAAAGCAAAAATGTAGACAGATGTCACTCATTTCACACACACACACACAAGCAGGCTCATGGACTTTGGAACCATATGAAAACTGTACAGGATTATACAGATTATATTCATTATCATATTGGTATGTAAACACAGAAACCCATATCCTATTATTGTCCCATCAAACAATCCCATCTGACATTTATTATGTACATGTATGCTTGCCCTGTATGAAGCCAACAACCAGTGGTAGCTGTGCAAAACACGCTTCTAGTCTGTGATTACATTGGTGAAAAACATTCACAGTATGAAAATCAGAACATATTAGTGATAGATATTAAAAACAGTTGATTAATCCTGGATACATAGCTGAGGTGGCAGCCAACCAGATCCCTTCCTTACCTATGTACTGCTGGTGGTGTTGGCTCTGAGCAGCCACCGACTGCTCTGGAGTGCTGTTACAGTGCTGAGAGCTCCCACACAGGCTGTCAGACATACCATCTACCTTCTGTAGAGGTTTAAACCTATACAAAGAGGAGATGGCAGGACATGTGCGCATGTTAGCTGAGTTTTGAAGGGTGAGGAGCAACATAAGCAACCATAAAAGAAAAGGGCAAGGGAAAGAGTGAAAGAGCTTGTAGGGGAAATAGGGGAGGGATGGCGGACAAGACAAAAGTAGTAGAGGATTGGCGATGAAAATAAGGCAGCTGTCACAAGGTAAATGTAATCAATAGTTAAATTTGATTTACATGTGAACTTTAATCAGGAACGAATAAATAACCAACAAAATGGCACAGGATGAAGACAAAAGGAGCATTGCAATAAGTTATTGCTGACCTCTGTTTCTGGTGGACAGGCTGCTGCCTCATGGCCATGTACTGGGTGTCCTCCTGCAGCCGGTTGAGCGGTGAGTCTGGCTTCACCCGGATGCCATAGTAATGATACTTAGAGTTGCCTCTGGTAGATTGAGTGAGAGAAAAACCAGAAACCAGTGAGGAGGAGAAGAGTTGCCATCAGTGTAATCACTATCATTATCCTCTTCCATCAGCAAGTCTCCAATGCCTATAAGCATCATCATACTCGTCACATCTATAATGGTAACACGATTACTGTTATCAGCATCTTCAGCATTGGCAACAACCTCTTCCTGTTTGTACCTGGTGCCGAGGCGCCGGGTCCTCAGGCCCATGAAGACTGAGCGGATGAGTTTGCCGAAGGAGGCTGCGTTGACCGGATCCAGTTTCTGTTCCTGACAGTGCCGCAAGTAATGGTTATACAGGGAGCACCGGGGCAGGCTCACTCCCTCCGCTGTCTCATAGTTGTCCAGCAGCCACTGCAGCTAAAAATACACAGAAGAAGACAAAATCAGTGAACCCAACGGGCAAACTCTGCTCTGTGATAGTCACCTGGCCATCAATGGAGAGGAGCAGTGCATCTTATTATCATATCAAAAGACAGATAACACACACCACACACGCACATTACATAACCACCTATTTTAGGAGGTGAAACACCTGAGAGACTATTGTACTCTCGCTTTAAGCCTTTATATGCCTGACTGAAGCAGTAAGTGACTACAGCAAAAGGGATGGCTGATACTGACGAAGACACAATCATAGCTGTGTCTGTAACAGCACAGTGCTCAAATAACCAATTTACAAACCAGATTTAAAGCAAATGCTTCAAACACTATTCATACAAATGATGTAGAGATTGTGAGGTGGCAGCTGAGGTTAAGAGCTGGAAGGTAGTTAGGCATCTACACCACAACTTTACCCATGTGAGTGAAAGTAAGGATTGAAACACTATAAGAATCTCAGTTAAACGTCATCAAAATTGAGCGACAGCCTCCCAAAAAGAGAAGTGAGGCCACATTCTCACAGACATTTGCACATAAAAACCCTTAAAAGCCATCTGAGAAGTTGCTGCCTTGGCTCATCATATAAGAGCGGTAGCTAGCCCGCTTCCAAACTCCTTCAACTGGACTCCCCAGATCATGTTCCAATGTCTTACCCAGTACACGAAACAACACGCCCCCGCTAACACAGCCTTGTCTTGTTTTAACATGGGGCAAATGTCTGTCTGAATGTGGCCCTCACACTGAAAAATGCATGTCTTGGTTTATTTAAGTTTGAAAATAACACAAAATCAATCAACTTAAGTCCATGCAGAGTATTGACACACACATACAAAAGATACATTCTTGAGGAAAAGGTGATAGCAAATGCGGTTTCAGATCAAGAACGAAAACTAATGGAGATAATTATGCGTGTCAGTGGGACAGTGCAGAGAATGTAAAGCTAGCAGTAGGTAGTGTGTTCAACTGAGAAGAACAGAAAAAGAACACACTGCCTACAGGTTCAGCCACGAATTTCTTTTTTCATTTTCTCTCAATTCCTTTTCAAAGAAAGTTCCTGGTTGACTTACATGGCTGTTGAGCAGGCTGCTTTTGTGACTTGCAATTCCTTCAGACTTTTGGAGGTTTTCAATCGCCATTTCAAGCTAAAGAAAGAAGAAGCATGCAAAAAAAAAAAAAAAAATAGAGTGGACACAGAAGGGAGAAGAGGCAAAAGGGTGAGAGAGACAGAAAAGGAGAAGGGCACAGAAATAAGCAGGGTATATGAAAAAAAAAAAAAAACAGATAAAAGGAAATAAGACTGTTAGCGAGCAGCCAGATCTCTGCATTTCCATTAAAAATCAGTCAGTGTTGCAGCCAAATCCATTATTGGCTGACAAAAGCATGCAAATCAAGGGACTCATGGGGTTAAGCTGCTCAGTGAAGGCTTGCAGTCAGACACTCTAATGTATGCAAATAGGAACCACAAACAGGGGCACAGGTCACGTCAAGCTCAGGGACAATAGGTCAACAATGCTTACAACCCCCCCCCAGTTTATCAAACATTTTAACTTGGGAGTAATATTTGAAAAACTAAAAGTCAGATAGAGTAAGTTGTAACTACAACTGAAACAGTGTCATGGTAAAATATACACTGACATATTATTCTGTCTTTGGACAACAAAAATTAATGGAGTCCAATTGGCAGGCAAAGTAAATGACAAAACCAGGGACATTCTGTTGAGCTGTAGAAGAAAATCAAGTCAAAAAAGAAAAGATATGTGGTATTTCAGCCAAACTGGAGACACAGAAGAAAAGGAAAAAGAAACAGGCAGCGTTCCAAGCCTTAAGAAGGCTCCCGAGGGCTCTTGGCCAAATGGTAATGAGCCCCAGGGGTTGCTTTGTTTTGCGGGGCGCTCAAGTGCCTGTGAAAACCTCTGAAACAAGGCAGTGCTGAATTATTTAAGCCAATGTCCCGATTCTACAGGCTCTCTGCCCTGTACTACTCTGCTCTGCTCTCTGTGTGTTACTGCAGAACCAGGAGGCCCCAACTCAGGTTGCTGTAAACCCGGTGTGTCTCTTCCTGCCTTTCAGGCTTGTCCTGGGATCCTGCCCAGTCTGGACAAAGGCTCAGGTAGCAGTGGTGACAGTTAGCACCAGTGTGCATCTCACAGCACTATATGGTAGTGCGGATCTCAAGGTAAGCCATGTTGTACTAACAGTTAGTAGTGACAACTTATTTATGCACTTAAAATAGCAAAAACTATAATTTGGACACATAGCAGTTGATAAAAGACAAACAATGTCTCAAGTGTATATAGTCAGTCACTCTGTCTTTGGTGTGTGTTTTTGCTTACTCATTAATCCTTTTCTATTGGAGAAAAGTGCTTCAGAGTACCACTGGAACATTGGTATGAGTGTTGCTCACCATAGCTGAGGAGGAGCGTGATGAGTGTGATATGTGGTTGCGGCTTCCCTCCATGCTTCCTCCATGGATCAGGTAGGTGCTGCCGCTGGAGATGATATGGCTGCTGCCCACATCCATGGCAATGCCCACCATGCCATGAGGGGGTACCCCACCACTGGCAGAGGAGACCACTGTGGTGACATGAGCTCCACCGGCCTGCGAGTCAAAGTAGGTTCCCCCACTGCTCTGCCCGTACAACTGAGCCTCAGGGTTGTAGGAGTAAGCCGCTCGGCTGGGGAGCGATCATTGTAATTAACATGCAGCGATGTCAAACCTTGATAATGCTAAACAAAGTACATTTCATGACCAGTGATGAATTTTAAGAGGTATGTGCTATCTGAGAAATCTGATACAATACATCTTGTTTACATACACAGTAATATAACTGATGTCATCAAAATATTTGGAAGACAACTGTGGGGAAAAAAAATCATACCTTTAATGGTGTTTTGATTAGAGCTATTCTAAAAGGAGTTGGATGTGACACAGTTAAAATGATGAGGAAAAGTGGTCTGGAAAGTCTTATTTGTCATTATGCTTTTCACACAGCACCCATTTATAGATAATTTAGGATGACTCTGCATTGAGAGTGGAGCTAAATATTATGCAGAGTGCCATGTCATGTAAATTGAAAAGAAAAAATGTTTTACAACACTTTAGTGCTTAAATTAACACAGTGGCCATTTAAAGCTATGGTTACTTTGTGAACAAAAATGACATGAATCACTGTCTCAAATAATAAAGCTATCATATGTTTACAAAATCTAACAAATATTAAAAATGATTTTTTTGTTTAAAATTTGTGACTAAAATTTATTCATCACAATTTTTTTCTTTCCTGGGTTACACTTTTCATGCATCATATTCCTTTGCTGTATTTTTGAGATGTAACATTGCTTACATAGTTCCATTGGTGTAAACAGCCTCTCCACTTTCTCCTACATATTGAACCTGGGATGGGTAGACATGTTGCACCTGCTGCACCTACAGAGAGACAACAGGAGAATGAAAGCAGGGCTCGCATGTAATAGATCTGAGAATGAAGAAAAATCTTACTTATGAGTCTTTATTTGTTAACACAGTGCTAAGACAGTGAATGCTACTGAGATTGTAATTGACTAATAATACAAATACTGCACAGATATATAAATATATATATATATATATATATATATTCATGTGGGTGTAGGTATGTGCACACCCATATGTGTTTATATGCAATGCAGTGAAAAAAAATCCATCCACCCCTTGGTTTGTTCACAATAATTTGCCAAAAGCAAAAGCCTCAACAATATTACTTGACATTTAAAAGCACTGATTATTGTATTTAGACCTACCAAGGCATTTGGTGTGGAGTTTCTGTTTCTGTTTGTCATTAAAATGTACAGTAATTTAAAACAAAGTTGCACTGAATTGATTTTAACTTGAATTGAGACTTAAGTGGTTTAATTAAAAACAAGCTTGAGCTGACAAACATCACAACTGGTAATGAAAGATATAGTGAAGGAAAAAATTATGAAAAGCAGGTAATGAACTGTCCATCTGCTTTTGGCTGATCTTGTGGCATGCGGCAACACCAGCTAATAGCAGATAATCAGGTCAGATCCTAGTTTTCACCATTAGACACTAGACATCACACAGATTTTGTGTTGGGATTTGGTTCAAGCCCCCAGTAAGATCACCAGGCTTTGCAGCAAGGTCCCATTACACCCTGAGACTCAGAGAAGACCTTCTACCATACACATCATCACAAAAGATACTATTTTATGTTATTCAAGTATGCAAGCAGTAGGCCAGGCTCAGCCAGAGAAAGACAACAGAAGAGGAGCACAGGAAGCAGGTGAAACATTTGACATCTGGATGAGCAGCTTTCAATGGAATGGATACGCTGCCACGTTTGGGATCTTTAACCAGTGTCTCACACAAACATGGTTTGGGTACTGTTTAACTTGTTTACTATTTAATATGTCACTAAAGGCCAAACCAACAACTCCTTCAGAACAGACTGACTGATTTAATTTAACGTAAATTCTGACCCAAACGAGAATGAACATGAAGAGATCAAATATTTGGAAGTGAAACAAATAAACTCTGGTGAAACAGGCTGTAAGCTAGTTTTTCCAACCATTGGTTTCTGTTTTATTTGAATTCACATGAATTATCCTGTTATTTTTTGTAAAAGAAACCAATGTATAGGTCTCCGGCTCAGTCACAAAAGTCAAAAGAATTTAAATTTTAAAAACTGGAAAAAATTCAAGGGGTGCACAGATATTTTCACAGCACTGTATATGTATGTACAGTACTGTGTACCTGCTGAGGGACCTGTTGAACCCTGGGTACTGAAAGCTGCTGTACTTGTCCTCCCTTCTGAGCTGAGCCTGTGGCTTGAACCAGCACCCTCTGTGTGGATACAAGACATAACTCAATTACATAGGTATGTACGTAGAATAACACACATCACATGAACACATAAACATATGACAGTAAACACAACATCGGCAAACATATCAACAAATCAAGGCCCTCAAGACTTCTTTTAGCAAGTACTGAGAGATTTATGCTCATTAAGACATAAATGAAAGCTCATACTTCTTCCTGTAAGTCTAACATACTCAGTGCCAGACTAGCACACTGTTATTGAGCAATGAACAACAGAAATTCAGACTGTGCTCTATATGGTTTATTAACAATTCCATCTTTTTTTTCCAGTCAAAGAGTCAGTCAAATAAAGTAAAGACAGTGAGAAGGCATGGCTAAACCATTTCCTGCTAATATGGTAATGGTTACAGGAGGTAACTGTTGGCAAATTAGCAGCTTTAGTTGCTGGAAAGTTATCATTTATCGCAGGTGGTGACTGGAACATTAGACCATATGTGCATCCTGGAGTGATTCTCAAGATATTGTACTGTTTTCTCTTTTCAGGCACCAATATAGCAAGCACTAATGTAGCAAGCAGGTCCTGGTTTGGTTTACAAAATAACTATTCTTTTATACTTAACATTTGGAAAGAAATGGGATGAAACAATTAAGTCATTACAGCCCTCCCTTCACAGCCATTTGTCCTGTCATTACAGTAGCAGCAGGGTAGAGGTAGTGTCCTACCTGCTGGGATGCTGGAACCGGCTGTACGACAGGGGCCTGGGCTGATGATGACGTCCTCAGCGTTGCCACGCTGGTTGTGGTGTCTGACCCTCCCTCGGAGCTCTGCATGCTAGGTTGCAGGGGATACATGAAGGTGGACAAAAGACAAAAGACATGAGTAAGAGGTAATTCTAAAACAGAACGAAGAATTGTGGGTTACTTCTGTAACTTTGAGTAGCATGAGTGAGACGTCTCACTACGGGTTACACCTCCTCTTGTATTTACAGAAGCACTTTTAAAGGTTCTGTAAATGATCGTCACTGCCGCTAGATGGTGCACTAGATCACCAGCATCTCAAACCAAAACAAACACTTCGTTAACCACACCTCTGGCCTCCGTTTGGCCACAACCCCCCGAAAACGTGGTTACCTCAGTGGAGGAAATTCTGGAATGTGGCTCTGACCTTAACGCTGTCGCTTTCACCTGAATGCTACTTATTGCACTGTGCCATCTCGTGTGTGGGCGGTCCCTGTGTGTTTGTAAACGTGGCCAACAGTTTAACAGGAGGGACTGACATACACTCACATGCACACTCACATGCACTAACATGGGTGCGCGACCAGACCGGCTACCAAAACAAAGAACAGAGAAACTCAGATCACAACACACACTGGGGACCCCCCCAGTGTGTGACTTAGTTCTTTACTCAGGATGCCATGACTACACTATATCTTTACATACAAAATAGTTGTTTGCTGCTGTATTGTTGTTTAAAATCTCCAACACCATATTCTTTATTTTTAACATAAAGTAAGTTGTTCCGTTGTCTCTTTTTAATTATAATTCATGTATATATATATATATATATATATATATAACACTCCCTCATGCCTACTCTAGTGATTGGTTGCAAGCAGCCACCTGACGTGACGTGTCTGGATTGACAACAAGTGGTGCAGCTGAGATGGGTTCCACCAGGGCCCCGTTATTGGTGAGAACTGGGTCCCTACCAGAGAGGCTGGCGCGCCGAGCCAGTGGTTGACAGAGGCTATTCTGCATGAACCAGGCACAGTGAGTGTACAAGCCAGGGTTTTTGATGCCAGCCTGGGTGTGGTCCAGCCCATGGCACACTGGGCAGATCTGGTGCGTGTCTTTGCTCAAGGATTTGTTTCCACAGGTACACAGACGAGCTCCAGAATCACCTTTTTCTACGATGTGAGGTAGATGCACCTGAACTAATTTAGCTGATAACAAAAAAGAAATAATCTAGAGTGATAATTCCTGTTAGCTAGCTCTCACAGAGTGTGAGCAGCAAGATGGCTGCAACTCCTTAACTTGCTAGGAGTAGCCAAAATGAATATGCTAGCAAGCTAGCTTGTAGAAGCCAAAAAAAGCTCAGCTGTTTGGAGGCAGGCAAGGAATTGGAAGAAAAATACTTATGGCGAAGGCAATCAGATCAGTATCACTAGCTACTAGCCCCAGAGGTGACAGATGTGTCCACTGCGGTCTGAGATCAGTTAAGGTAGTTAACTTGGATTCAGATGAGGTAAGCTTGGCTTCAGAAGCAACAAGAAGTGATTTAGTGACGCAACGTCAGTCCTATGTAAAGATGTGTGGCCCTGACATGGATGTCACGAGTCATGACTGCCTGCCATGAGGATCATATGCCATAGTGAAACATCGAAACGAGTGCTACAAAAGAGAAATGCTCTAACAGGTAATAATGAAGACTAAAAGAAGAGAATTTAAAGTCTATATTCATGTACCGCCATGCTAAATAAATGCTCTTTTACCCCACCCCTTCTGTCTTGATGCCACCAGAGCATTCATTGGGCCCCAGGGGGTTGCTGGCATTGCCAAGTCAAGCTGAGTCACTAAAGCTTTCAGATCTCCAGAGGCTGCCCACCTTTGGCCTTAATCAATGGAGGAATAAGGAGCCCAACTGTATTACACAGACTCTCCTAGTCCTGCTGACAGACCAGACCCAGGTGGAAAAGTTACAGTACAGGAGTTCAAGTTACCAACAGAACTGAAGTGCTTGCTGAGGACCAAACCCACTGCTGCCATTCGCCTTTCCACTGGGTGACAATGTGCACAGCATAGCAAAGGGGAGCTAAAAATGGAGTGACACAAAGGCTCTCTTTAAAAAAAAAAAAAAAAAAAAGGACAGAGGGAGAAAGAGCGGGAGTAAGGCAGGGACAAGAGAAGAATAGAGCAAGGGGGAGTAAGCAGATAAAAAACAACTTCCCCACTCTCTCCAAAAAAGAAAAAATGAAGGGAGAAAAGGATGAAAATGGCAGTGGGGCTCCAGCCCTGCCAGGGTCCTGATGATATCCAGCGTTTGTTTCTGACGAGAGCCGTTCTCTGAGGGCTCCAATAATCCAGCTGATATGAGGAAATTCCTCAATGCTTTGTAAACGTTTGTCGGTTGCTATGGTGAGGAATCCATGACGACCACCCCCAACTCAACCCCCGTCTTCCCCTCCCTGTACACTCTTCTACAACCCCCCCCCCCCCCCCCAATAAAGCTCTTGCACAGGAACTTTCGAGTGCGACCGCAAAGAGGAGAGGGGGAGGAGGATTAGAATAAGGGAAAGGGAGATACAGCACAGTTTGGAGGGGGGGGGGGGGGGGGGGGGTTCATAAATTAACCCACATATAACACGAATTTCCNTTGAATTGATGAGCAGTCTCTGGTTTGAGGCAGAAACCCAGGAGCAGCAGGAAAAGTCAGTCAGCAGAAGGGAGAGGTGTTCACCAGGAGCATTACAGCGAAGGGCTGCAAGACACAACCTGCTCGAGACATTCTGTGATTAGTCATAACACACAACATGCACTACAATGTTATTTTAATTTACTGGAAGAGGCCTGACGAACACCACTTAGGGCAGCAGTAATCTGCAGGCTGAACTATTAGATACAAGCAACAGGTGCAGCCACACGTGTTTGCCTTTCTCAAGTCTAACCTAAACTAGGGCTGCACGATAAAAGCAATTAAACTTGTGATTTTTAAATCTCATTCTTACATTAGGATTCTTTCACATTTGCATTAATAGGGATATCCACTGCTACAAACCAAGTACTCCTCCTCCTTTGTTCGATAAATGAGAAGTCTGTCTTCTAACATGCAACAAATTAAACTCAGGCAAAGCGGCAGTAACGAAAACAAATCTAACGTGACCCACAGAAGAAAAGAAAAAAGCTTTAGAGGGAAAAAAACGAGGGCAAAATGAGTCAGAATCAAGGAAAGCTTGCTGGTGATGGAGAGGAAGGGGAAATAAATTTAACCAAACCACAGTTCCAACAAAAATGTTGTGCTCACATCAAACTAGAAGTCACATCCTCTTTTATGGAACATTTTCAGAGTTAAATACTATGATGATACAGGATAACACCACTAATTTATACAGCCACCTAAAATGTTGCCACTAAATTCAACATGATGAAGGTATCACAGACACTACCACAAAATCCCTACCATCTATAACTACAATGTTCCCACGGGCAAAAGGAGATGGCAGGACACATGTTTTATTTTAAAAAAGATTCGGATTCCCTAAGGATCTTGACACAAAATCATAATATCAACTCTGGACTCCATGTTGTCTGGCACTTTCATTCTTCATTTCTGAATTAAATGTTAATTATAGCATTAGTACAAAATACAAAATACAAGGAAATACAAACATGGCTTTTATAAAACATAATAGTAAACTTTTGTAACCTATCTGAAAGCACCAATGGAATCAAATAAATTAAACCTTGAACAGACTGACCTTGACAAGATATACTACTTGAATTTTTTCATGTCCAACAACACACAAATTTAAAAAAGAAATTGACAATGACTTTCAACTGTGTTAAGTTTCAGACATCAGTTTGGCACCCAATAGTGCCCCTATTGGGTGCTATAACAAAATCAGAGTGTACCTTTGAAAAAGAAAAACATCAGATTTGGGTGTGCCACCACTGGCATTTTCCAAGTGTGGGGATTTTACCACAGACAGAAACTGCTCTGCCTACATGACTAATAGACTGAGTGGAGGAGGACTATGTTGAAATTCCTGACATGTGTCAATCTTCAAACATACATGGTGCTATAAGGAATTACTCCCTAAGCAGTGTGACAGTATTTGTTCAGAGCCCAATTAGCACTGAGATGTGAAGGCTCTCATATTCCATTTCAATTTTTCTTCACACCTCCTTCTTGTATGTCATTTAAGTACCAAAAGTCGATTATCAGATTGATGCTAACAAGGACTGAACATTTTAAAAGCTGCTGCAATGCTCAAGCAGCCTTCTAAAGTAAGGAATTTGTTTATGGAGTGTCAGTGAAGTTATAAATACACTTGTAACAATCCCATCATTTATCTTTAGACTTGTCATTTTCACCAGATGAAGTGAAGGCCTGAGGGCTTCTTTATGCCATTCAGAGGCATGGCAATATGGTGAAGGATCAGGAAACATAGCACTGACCTTCATGTTTTCATCCATTAAAACTCAATTAAAGCACTGGTTTTAACAGGTATGGTGAAGTGTGCTAAAATCATTGCGTTGGAGGTGGGGAAAGAGGATAGAATACAGACCAAAAAGAGTCTTTCTGCTTAGTGTTCAGGGAAGGTTAAAAGCCACACAAATTCCCCTCCAGCAGCTCTGAAAGGCACAAAGGTAGAACACAGCAGGAGATACAGCACACTGCTGCAAAAACCACTACTCTGGATGGGCTGCTGTTTAAGGCCAAACCTTTCTGACTCCAACCCAGAGACAACTTCACATGTCAGTTTTCATGTCAGGTCTGTGAGCCTGGTTTCATTCAGGCAAATCTCAGATGAGCACTTAACAACATTACAACAACAGCCCCTCCTTTCAAGAGTTACCTGAGTTTTAGCATTTATACAGAAACAAGAAAAGCCACTTTAAAAAAAAAAAAAAAAAAAAAAAAAAAAAAATCTTACAAACTGTCATTAATGCTATATGCATTAATGTTAATAGTGCGGACAAAATATAAACATCTGTCACTGACAGATCTAACTTAAACAGGGCTCAATCAGAGAAAAACACATACAGATGTTCAATTAAAAGCAGGAGCCCACAGTCTTGGCTCGTGTTTGCACTGGCCCACATTGTTTG